ATTACAAGCTGGAGACGATGCTTGCTCTGCTGGATTTGTGAATTGTTTGTGAAGCAGCAGAAATTGGGCACACATAGCAAGGCACTTAAATGCAGGTATCTTCGGGGACCTAATGAAATGCACTGCTTTGAAAAAAACACCTTCCCTAGTTGTCACAAACTTTATACCAAAAGTATTTCTAAAAGCCAAGAACAGCCAAAAGAATTAGGTTATTTTGAGGGGAACAATGTATTGGTAGACATGCAGTGCACTCTTTATACAGGGCAAAATAAAGCATTTAGTTTCAAGTTTTCAAGCTTCCTGTGCAACATCTAATTCCTGGTGGCTCAAAACTCCAGTTTGTTATTCTCATAACTGAAAGAGTTTGAAGCTTCCTAGAAAGCTCACGGCGTATGACGGTCTTAGAAAATAAATTATGTAAAGGCTTATGTTGAAGATTTAGTCTCTCTGTTTTAGTGAACGTTGTGTTTGAGCTGAGATTATTCCTTTAGGCTTATTTTGAATATTGGAAACATGCACGTACCTTGTGTTTGCACAGAGAGATAAAACTGTTCAGTGCTATTGAGACATTTTGGATTTCAGATTCTGCATAAATCAATCAAGAGAAATTATTGTTGCTTCAACAATAGGTACAGTAATTGAATACACTCAATCCATTCACTAGTGCCTAATTTGACTTCTCGTAAGCCACCTTCCATTTATCTTTGTCAAGTAGCTATTATAGTAAGCTTTCATAGAATAAAATTGCATATTGATTTTTTTTTTCTTGGTGTGGTAAATGTTTGCACTGGAGTGTCATGCTAGAATTTCCAGATACTTAGGTACAAAATAAGCACCTAAGCATTAGTTGATCTGCTTTGGTTGCCACTGCAAATTTCAGTCCATCTAAATTCATTTGTGCAATTCTTCTGTGGAAATTCACAATAAATAAGTTGGTTTTTGTCATATATTAAGTATTCACCTCAATAAACTGTCTTGAATTTCTAGCATGAGCCCAGCAAAGCCATAGAATTATCTTTCCAAAGGAAAATTAAATAGACTTTCTGCCAAGTCTATCAACACTATCTTTGAAAGCAATAAACAGTCACTTAATGGCACGTGCCACCACCCATGTGAGACATGCTTCGTGTGGATTTTGATTGCATTTGCTGTTAAGAAAATTCTGTTAATTCTTTGAGCTATTTATAGCCTTCTTGCTGACTTGTCACAGCGTGTTTAACAGTGTGTTTAGCAGTCTGCATACTGCTTTCCATAACAGAGTTTTGTAGTATCTGGGGCCTTGAGTTATATTGTGACACGATGAGCCTTCAATACCAATAAGCATATATACGTAACATTTTGTTACTGGAAAGCATCCTAAAGGACAGTAGTGGAACTACACAACTTGATTAACTTTGGATTTTGAAACTAAGATAAAGCAGAGAAATAAAAGTAGTTATATTTCATGTTTATATATCAAGTAGTGAGCCAGAATGAGATGCTTTAAAATAAATGCTTTTGCCTTTGCTGGTGGAGATGGAGTCACACAAAAACTTTATAACTATATAATAGTTATATATGTATATAAAACTATATAGTAGCTGGGAAATGACCAAAGATCTCCAGAATCTTCATTCAGTAACTTCACTTTGAAGCAATACTCCTTCTCCAGTCTGTGATTTCTTCAGTTTATTGGTAAGAGATGCAAGGAGAAGTGCAAAGAAAACATGTTGACATTTTTAATCTCCTTTATTTTTTTTATTTTTATTTTTTCCCTTTTTGTCTCTTTTAGAAATCTAAATCACTTCTAAGTTTGCCCACTGACTGTCTGTGAGGATGACTTTCCTTATGGCTTGAAAGTATTAAGTTCATGCTTTTCTCATCACTGTCATAAGCCGTAACGTGCTGTTGTTCATCAGTGTAAGCTGAGCATCTGACAATTTAGATGACATGGTAAATATTTAAAAGAGAAATTTCAGATTCACTTTTAGCAGGTGGTGAGTGAATGCAACTAAACCAAGTACTTACCACTAAACCTTTTCAAAAACATCTTTATTTTTTGTTAAGTTCACATTTAGTCCATAATCCAAGAAAGACCTCTGCACGTGTGGCAGCCATACTGCCCCTAACTTCATCTTACAGGCTATGGCAGTAGGGAGGACTCTGCAGCATGACTGAACACAGAGACACATCCTGACCCATGCTAAGACCTGATCTCTCCAGACCTTTTCATCTTCATTGCTTTTTGTAGCAGCCTAGAAAGCCTAGCTTTTTAGATGTTGCTTGTTCACTTGCCAGCAGTCACTTTAATCTTAGTTTGTATTTTTATTTATTGGTTATAGTGCTGCTGATCAGCCCTCAGTTGTTTCAGGTATGGACTATGTTATGTATATTATGCTATTTATATTACAAATGCCAATGTCCAGTGAAACAGTTAATAGAGTCTTTGAAACTACATTCCAGTAGTCCAATTCACCAGGATTAATGCTTCTCGAATACTCCCCAGGGACTTATTTGCTTTCTGCCTGACATGGCAATCTACCTCTCTCTCCTAGTATTCTAGCCCTTAAAAGCCATCACAAATGTTGACAGCATCCTCCTTTTCTGTGCCTTCCTAAAATCCTCACTCACCAGCTTGCAAGTGAGTGTGCAGGTAACTATGTACAAGAATTTCTGTGAAAACTAGATGAAAATGCGCCAATAGGGAGGACAGAAGTGAGCTTGGAAAATGGTAGGAGGTCTAAATCAGTTATTTCTTCACCCTTTCATACCAAATATTTGAGTCAGAAGCACTGTGTAGGACGTTAGATTTCACTGAAAGAGATGAGAATAAGCAGCTCTTACTTTCTAGAAGGTAAACTCTCTCTTCCAACCAGACAGAGCAACAAACTTCAGGCTCCTCCCAAGTAGAAACTAAAAAGGCACAGCCAGAAACAAACTCGTTTTGTTCATTTTCATATCATTTTTACTTCATCCCTGGAGCAGAACGAAGGTATGTAAAGATGTATGCAATCAAGGAGGAAAAAATGACGTTCAGGCATTCATGTTGCAGTTTATTTGAGGGTCATAGAGAATGTTGAGCTAATTCATATTTCTCTGATAGTTAATTGGACTTACTGTGTCACTGTGTCAGGGAAATACAAGTTGGAAAGTATCTGTATTTGCTTAACTAGTAAAACCACTGTGGTTGTTCTGTTCCTTTTCTTCAGATGCAGGACGCTTCATATGCGGCTTCTTGGTGTTCTGCCTTGAGCTTGCACTCACTAATTTGCTTTGATTCTATCCTCTGCCTAAGTATGAGGCCCAACAGGACAGACTGATGTTGTCTTTCAGAGATTTTGCTTGTTATTTTTTCTCACACAGAGAGGAACAAAAATAATCTTTGTCAAAATAAGAGTACCGGTGGCTAACCTTTTGGAAAATAAACAGGATATGGAAATTGTTCCTACCTTGCAATATTTGAATTGTTATGAAAAAGTTTATGGGCTCACATTCATGTTAAGCATAAAAAGCTTAAACTGTAAATCACAACAGTGTTTTTAATATTTTTTCATTAAAGACACATGGAAAATCAGGGATATCTTGTAGTGATATCTTGACTATGATTATGTATGAGGCTCTGCTATATTAAACACTAGCCTGGAGTAGCATTAGCGTAACAGGAACAAGCATATACAGCTGTCTTTTGAATTAAAGACCAGTGTGTGCGTTCCTTTTATTGGTTTCAAACAGTTATTTGAGAACAATTAAAATATTAAAGCTAGAAAACCGATTTAAAAAGTAATTGAAAACAGTCCTTATTTACATACAGACACATTCATGTTTGAATTATTTTCTAATGGAAATCTCTCTTTTCTTTTTTTTTTTTTTTTTTTTTTTTATCTTTCTGTAGATGAAGCCTGTCCTTAATTTATTCTTAATGCAATAACAAAACCTACAGATTTTAAGAAATATTTTTGAGTTAGTGCTTTGGCATTTGTTGCCATATTTTGTAAGAATATGTTTCAAGAGCAAGGTGTATTCTTTTCTAGTTTTTTTTTGTTTTTTTTTTTTCTTTAATGAAAGCCTAGAACTTACCAATAAAACAAAATGTCTTTCGATTTTTTTAGTTGTTAAGGCTGTCTCAAGATTTATAGATATACATAGACTGCTCTGAAAGTAATGCCTCCTATTTATTTCCATGGAAACTACAATAGATACAGAGAGTGCAGTAACAATATTTGGTAGTGCAAATGCTCAGCTACGAATAGTATTTTTCAGCATAGCCACCACCATTAGCTGTGCATTTTTGCCAGAGATGAACAAGACCCTGCATGCTGCACTAGTAAAAATCTGCATGGCTGTCCAACGCGTGCCTTGTCTTTCATGTCATTGCTTCCACTGCTTAAACACACCCCCTACTTCTTCGCTGTGCTCACATCCGCTGTTTGGTCTCCACAGATGTTCATCAAGCATTGATGAATGTCAACGGATCTCACTTTTTCCTCATGAAGGAACTCAATAGCACATCTTTGCTTTATCTGCACTTCCTTGTCAGACCCCATTTGTTAGACTGCCCCTCTGCTGCCATCTGTCACACAGCAAGAAAATGTAATGGGGTATTGGTTGGGAAGGTCCAACCTCTCCTGCTATACCGCCAACAACTGCCTCTGATATTGTAAACCAACATAATAAAATAGGACACGTTACTATGCACCCTCATATTGATTATTTATGTGTAATTGTTTAATGCAGTTATATGTTTTATATTTCAATCACTTCACTGAAGATAGAAAATTTAATTCTCACAATAAACCTAAATAAATAAACTGTGATACTTCTGTTTCAGTGCTAGTATTGATAATGGTGGCTAGAAGTGATTGTAAATGCATTTAGTTTGTGAAATGGAAGGAGAAGTTCATTGTTCAAAAAGTTGTGATTTCCTACAACGTAACAGCAAGTCTTGTTTAAGATGTCTCAAGTAGAATGCCTACAATCAATAACACCTTTTTTTTTTTTTTGCTTTCTGTCTACTTTTGCAGCTGAAAGAAGAAACCTGAACAGGAGAGTCCAGCTTTCTCAGTTTTGCCAAAGATATCTCAGATTAAAGCATTGACATTGCACGTGTCTCTTGGGCATGAAAGGTAAGGGGTTTATGTGCTTGTTTCTTAATTAGCACTGTATTTTAAATGCAGCAGACAGTTCTTTGGCAATTTTGACCTTTGTAAACATCAGATTGTGTTGCACCATGTGAAGCAATCATGAGACAGTACTTTGCAGTGCCGTTCTATACTGCCTCTACGCTTGTTGTATTACTGTTGGTCAAGCTTTGAGCTCTCTGATAGATTTTGAAAACATTTTAGAATAAGCTTGGTCTCTGTAGAAATTGCATTTATTAAGGTCATAAGGTAAAACATATCCAAAAGAATGTTTTAACATTCTTACATAGCTCTTCTGGCAATTGAAAGGGTTTTGAATTGTGCATTTGAATCACGTTTGTGGCACAAATTCTCAGTCTTGAGTCAGCAGTTACCTAAATTCAATGAGTCTCTTTCCTTTCACAAGGCAGTAAACTCGCATTTAAAGCTAGATGTGCTGAGTATTAGGGAGTAGTGAGACTGTCTGTGTAGTTAGGTTTGAATTGGGAGCTCCGAGAGATCGTAAGTAGCTATGGCAGCAGTTGCTTTAAGCAGCTGCATCCCAGGAAAACTGGGAATATCATGGCAACCTCAGAGGATGGATTAAACTGGTTCTTCTCTTCTGTGTGACTGTAAGAAAAGGTCTGGAGAGCTAACACAAATGCGTTCATTAAATAATCAGGATTTTTGCAAGATCATGCCTTGTAATTGAATATCTCACACACAAACTTTAAAATTCAGGATCCAAACTAGACCAGTGCAGTATTGTGCCTTTCCTTAGAAAAGGCTTCCTCTTTTGACAGCTCATGTTGTGGTTTGCTGGTGTCATTAAATGCTCATTAATAATGAAAGCATGCATTGCAAATGTTTACCTTGCTTTAACTGGGATCTAAGCCTCTGGACAATGAAAATATGGAGGTAATGCTTTGACTGCAATGTTGCTACAATGGAAATGTACGTTTCAGGCATTATGAAGTGATTTAACTGACTTTAATATGTAGAAGTAAGCTCTGTTTTCAAGTGATCTATAATTAACCAAATATTCCTTAACAATCTAGAGTACTTGTTTTGGTGCTTTCCCATGATAAAGTAGCTTTATCATCAGAAATAATGTTACAGGTTGGCTCTAATCAGATATTCTCAATGTCTAATGTTCTTCTTGCTGCATGCAACTGAACACAGATGTGAACTGTAGGAAGGTGGCCAGTATTTCTATAAATTTGGCAGGCAGCGTATGGAAAGCCTTACAGTAGCTGGCAATTTTGGGGACTGTGAAAAGGTCAGACATGTTTTTATTACATAAATGTGTACAGCTTTGTCCTTAACAAGATCTTTCTTCTTTCTTTTTCTCTCTTCAACTACTGTTTTAATTTGGAGTGTAGAGAGAATGGAGACTTTTATTTAATTCTTCTTTTTTTTAATGCGTGCATCACTTCTAATAAGTTACAAATAATATTTCACACTGTTATAAAGCAGATGCAAATCTAATTTTCTGCAGTTTTCTGAGAAGACATGAACAGAAATGTAAATTACCACAAAACATTGAGAAATATGCTGTGGGGCTTAATGGCATTTATATCACAATACAACCACGTAACATGTATAGGTTTGCAATGTAGCAAAATGTTCAGTGCAAATAAGATGCACACAAAAGCCATCTGCATGGAGTTACGTATCTGCACATCTTCAAATATTTTTTTGATTACACTAATGGTAATAGCACAAATTTGGAGGTGTTACAGTTTACTTCAGGGAAGATTTGGGGATGAAAAGGACTGTAGGTGAGTTTGCCAAGAGCTACGTGTAGAAAGGAGTGGTCTTTTAGAATCAGTAGACAGCACTTAGTTTTAACCACTAATGATCTACATACATTTCAGGAAAGTTTGTTATGTTTTAGCAAGATGTTGGAACAACTTGTGGCTAAGCCTGTGTGTGTCCTGTAGACCACAGTCATGTTATTTTTCATTGCTTTTCAAAGCATAAACCAATATATAAATGTTCAAATAGAATTGAAATAGATCCGCACAGAAAATAATACCTGTCACCTTTTTTTTCTTTTCTTTATAAATGATCCCTGTTGAAAACTCCAATAATGGTTGAAAGGGCTCAAAAACGGAATAGTTTTAGGCAAATATCTAAAATATATTGATTTAAAGGATGCATGTTCTGGGCATATGCAATTAGTTAGATCGTATGAGGAGCTACTGCTAGTGAAACATAAGAAAAGCTTGAGATACCAGATAAAATTTTGAAGGCTTGTATCTTAAGTCCTACATTAATTAAATTCTTTCACCATAAAATGCCATCACCAACAAAAATGATTCCCATAAAAACAACAGCAACAAACAAAGAACAAAAAACCCAACACCCAAACCTTCCCTACTTAGTTCTGTGCTTGAGCCACTTTTTTGATACTTTGTGGCTCTAAGGTCCAGACTTAATCATCTTCAACTGCGATGTGTGCATGAATTTTTGTGTAAATAATTGTTGATAAAAAAAACCCAAAAACTGACAAGCAACTACCTAATCAAGAGGTAAGCAATAAGAAACAGGAGGGATTGTTTGTCAAGATAAGTAGGGCTGTAAGTAATTAGATGAAAATGGAGGGGAAAAAAAAAAAAAAAAGAGAAGACTGGTATCCAGACAAAAATAACATCTCCGAAGTTTTGACCTGTGGATTTTGGAGAATGTAGGAACTTTTGAATGCCATATAGTTCAGGACAGTTAGAACTCTACAGTCCTAAATATTAGTAAGAGGTCTTCAAGAAACAGTTCACCCATGGCAGAACACGCATTTTGAAGTAGGTAATATATAATGTATTCCCAGCATGTTTGTTTCATAGTTCCCTATGAGAACTATAAGAGAGTAGCATCTCTTCTTTAGGCTGCACATGTGTAGGTTTTCATTGACTGCAGACACAGCAACTGATGATTTCTGACTGCAGACCAAGCTTGGGTTTTTTCTTCACACTGCTGTTTTGTTGTGGTTTTTTTTTGTTTTTTTTTGTTTTGTTTTTTTAGTTCTAAGGATAAGAGGCTCAAGATTATTCTAAGCCTTCAAGGAACTCTTGTTACTACAACTGCTTGATTTGAATTTTCTTCTAGGAACATTAGCCTTTGTATATTGTTATGTATAGAACTAAGATAAATTTCACAGCAGTTGAAAGGATAGAGGTCTGCTATCTCATGAATGGTAGCACTGAAACTATGGAGTTATCCACAGAAGAGTAGCGACCGTAAAGTGTAAATCTTTTCCTATCAAAAACTATAGTTAAGAAGTAGCATTTTGTTTTGTTGAACAAAATCTGGAACAATCCTTGTTTTGTTGAAAAATGCTTAATTAAGACCAATTTGAATTTGAACTCACATCTGTATCTTGCTTGGTAAAATACACCTGATGACCTTTCTCACTTCTATACAAATGAATTAGAGGCAAATTATCTTGTGAGCCTCCACGCATTGCTGTTGTGCATAACAGAACAATATGAGCTCCCTCTTGTGGTTTGAAGTCACTTCTCATTCACAAAACTGAAAAAGTGCAAGTGGCAAAAACATTGCAAAAGGTTCTCCTGTAGTTGTTGGACTCTATTAAAGAATGATTTTCTGATGTCCCTCAGTATTAAGGAGAAGTGAGATTTAGAAGTGTGCAGAACAAGGGAGAGGACTGAGGGTCATTCTCACCATGGAGCAAAAGCTTATCTAATTACATCATGTTTCAAATCCCGCATAACCATTCCAGATACGTAGGTGGAGAGTCCTCAGTCTAACGGAACGTTCTTCTCGGCCATTAACAACAAGATAAGTGTTCTCATTAAGATGGAAGGAGTACTGAAACAACTTCTGGAGTGACAGACACTGCAAAATAAGCTTCTTATTGTAGGCACTTAGTAAAGACCGAAAATTCTTAGAGACCTGTAAAGAATTTCAGTCTTCCCGCATAGAAATCACAGAATCACAGAATCACCCGGGTTGGAAGGGACCTCAAGGATCATGTAGTTCCAACCCCGCTGCCTAGCAGGGCCACCAAACACGCACAATCAGATCAGGTTGCCCAGGACCCTGTCCAACCTGGCCTTAAACACATCCAAGGACGGGGCATCCACAACCTCCCTGGGCAGCCCGTTCCAGGGCCTAACCACTCTCCTTGTATAGAACTTCCCCCTAACATCCAACCTAAATCTTCCCTCCCTCAACTTGGATCCATTTCCCCTAGTCCTGCTGTTGTCAGCCCTTTTGAAGAGTTTACTCCCCTCGTGGGTGTAGGTTCCCTTCAGGTATTGATAGGCTGCAATGAGGTCACCCCGCAGCTTCTCTTCTCCAGGCTGAACAAGCCCAACTCCCTCAGCCTGTCCTCATAGGGGAGGTGCTCCAGCCCCCTGATCATCTTAGTCGCCCTCCTCTGGACCCTTTCCAAAATCTCAATGTCTTTCTTGTACTGAGGGCTCCGCACCTGGACACAGTACTCCAGATGGGGCCTCACAAGAGCCGAGTAGAGAGGGACGATCACCTCCCTGTCCCTGCTGACCACCCCTCTCCTGATGGAGCCCAGGATCCCATTTGCCTTTCGAGCTGCCAGAGCGCACTGCTGGCTCATGTTCAGAATAATAATAAAATAATAAAAAAAATAATAGTTATGAAGTATCAGTTTCATTGGTAGCACTATGTTACAGGTTTGCTGCCCAGAGACTGCTTGTGGTTGTCACTTGTTTACCAAATTTGCTTTTGCTCTTATTAATGAAACAAAGAGAAAACAAGTACAGCAACTCTGAAATTGTGGTTTATTTAGCCTGTACTTGTTGTTCTTTCTTGTGCAAGTTAATCTCTTGTAGTTCGTGCCCTATGCTTACAAAACTAGAAACTCCAAACTTACCGGAATGAAAATATCATGGGAAGTCAGGGACTCCTGTTCTCCGCATGAAAATAGATGCTTTGGTTTCTAATCTGTGATTTTTCTTTTTAGATTGGCTAAGTTGTTTATTTTTAGAGAAATGTTTGTCGCCAGGGGG